CACAGGAACCAAGGAAACACCACCAACGGCCCCCGTCAATTACAGAATCACAGCCGACCACCACCTACCAGCCACAGGAACCAAGGAAACACCACCAACGGCCCCTGTCAATTTCAGAAACACAACCGACAACCACCTACTAGCTACAGGAACCAAAGAGACTTCGTTGCTTCCGCTAACCACAGAAACTGCGGATACACGTCAACGGCCCCGCCAACCACATGTACTGAAATTCAGGAATATTCAACGTCGACCCTCCCCCCCTCCGTCTCACCAACTACAAGAACCAACAGACAGCACCAAATGTCCCCAAAAACCAAGGTATCCGGTACTATGTGATTCTGGTGGGTGGTTCTGCAATGCACGTGGTATATGCCATAGAAGTTTCCGTTAAATTCGGGAACTGTATTTCAGACAGAAAAGTCTTTATTCATTGCAGACACTGAAATCAGATACAATTTGGCAGACTCAAGATGATATGGACGACCATACAATATACCATGAGTAGCTGAAGCCTTTCAGTTTGAAACCATCTTTTGAATAGTCTACTAGTCTACAGTCGCTTCTCTAAATAAAACATTAAGAAATGAAAGTAGGCCGACAAGAAAACCATCTACATCCTTTCCTCAATTGCCCAACGTTCAATAACAGCCAAGTAGCTCACAAAGGTGACCCATAAATTATCATTATCATAGTAAGACGAACCAATTGCATATTTGTTATGGACAATTGACACACTGACAAACACTTCACTCGTGTAATGACTTACCAGCACGTTATGACGTTATATCTCATTAAACATAAATGTTAGTACCGTACTACCTCACAGGATTGCTCCCAGTTTACGATAACAGAGGCTGTATTGAGTGTGACTTATTGAACAAAGTAAAACCTTACTGCCAGAATTCCTCCTCCGAGCTATGACCCGTTTTGATGACGAAGACCGAGGCGTTCAAAAGTTGGCTGGTTGAGTGTGTGGTAACAATAGACGAAGTATTGACGAGCATGGTTGTGTTACCTAGAGAAACGTTAGACGTGGATAAGGCAGGGTTTGTGAAACTGAAACAGTCTGGCGTATTCCACTCGTTACCACACGTGCTCCAAGGTAGAGGATAGAAGAAGGACTGGTACAAGTAATATAAGACCCACGTTGTCAGCATCACATAGTACCATACACAGGCCATCAACATCAACAATAGTCCAAGGCCCTCTCCTGTACTTACAACAACACAAAAAGAATTATACTGCATCGTTAACAAACATGGATCAAATCTGAACATTTAATGACAACAATTAGAGGTGAGGATATTGCTAAAAGATAGAAAATAAATATTGAAACTATATTAGATGAGCATGGTCATTTTCACTTTTCGCTGTTCTTTCTTCGCCTCTAAAATGCTTAATTAACTTGGTCGTTAGCATGTCTGCCATTCTTATAGGGGAGGGGGTGGGGGAGTACAGGGAGGGGTGTGGGATTACAAAGAGGGGTGGGGTATGCGCATGTCAATTAGAAAGACGAAAAGCGCTATGTGTTCTGAGAAATGAGAAACTTTAACAAATTAGCGTAGTAGAATGGAAATATATCTCCTTTTTACACGGCGGGTTTCACGAAGCTTCATGTGTCAGAAATTAACATATTTAAAGAAGAAAATATACATCTTTTAGAGGACATGCAAGAATACTATTCAGACTTGTTTTGTTGTGTGTTCAGATTGCAATGTTCCATATACACAAATGATTCACTAACATGTCCCAAATGATATGTTTTTCTTCAGCAAGATTTCTTTTTGAATAAAAGCCTCTGAAGTCGGATAATTATTCCCCTTATACCTGTTGATATTTCGAAACATTCTACAGCATTGGTTTTAAAATATGAATGAAATGTTTGACTATAAACATCATCGTGACAGTTTTGGTCTAGATAACAACTTTTACATGTTATCATGATTACTGTTTAAAAATGATTTTGCTTGTAGTTTTGTTTTGATTTGGTTTTATAATTCTATTTAATACCATAGGTGGTTGAGATACACTTGCTTAACATATACTCTTCTATAGTGTCTTTTACCTTAATTTCGATAATAACAGAAAATAATTTATGATATTCTGTATTGCCTGATTTCTTCAATTTGTATGGGATTATATCAACATAATGTTTAAACGTTAATCAATACTTAATATAAAAAGAAATCAATAATTAACATCAACATGTATTAAATCATTAAGTTAACACATTGGTATATGGTATATCATATGAGGTAACGGTGAAATGTTATAACATTACCTCTGATCAATGGACAGTAACACCACACATTTTGCATAGTTTTTCCAGAGAATTGTCCAAGGGATGCTTCTAGGAAATACATGGGCACTGCTAGCAGGAAGATGGTGATGAGGTACGGGATGAGGAATGCACCTGTCGTATAAAAGAAAAGTGAATCTTCAAAGTAGTGTAATACAAATTTGTCAGCGGGTCAGTCATTGTTTTAGATGAAGTACAATTGAAATTAAAAAAAACACCACTTAAGTATGGTCAATTTACCGTACGATAAGCCCAATCTAGATGAATAATGTGCAGAACATTCACTTTTATCCTTTAATTATAATAAAAACATTGTTTAAGGGGTAGGAAACCAGTAAATCAAATGACTAGACATATTTCATTCAAACTCTGTCATCTTGAAATATTCTGTGAAAAATCACCTCTATCATCAAAAACTCATTCTTAAAGATTTTTGAAGACAGAAAGGATATACATTAAAACGAAAACTGTTTATGTGTCACACTGTATACTGCATCACAGAGCTCCCTCCTCCTCTCAACATAAGTCCCCTAAATTTCTCCTGTGTATTGCGTCAACATTTGCAGCGAGAAGAAAGGCCACAACAATTTACATACAATTCGCGAAAACATCTGATTTGTGTTCATAAAAAGGGCTTCCTAGCGACACGGATTATATTTAAAGCAGAAGAGAGTTGCAGAAGCAAAGTAACTCAATACAGGAGTTAGTGCCACAAAGATCATGCCAGATTGAAATGTAGGAAAAAACATTAATCAGAACATCAAGAACATTAACGTTGAAATACCCCAAATACACACTGTTGTTTGAGGTTCAAAGATTCTATGCTTCGACAAGTTTTCACTTATAGGCCTTACATGCATCATTAGTGTGTGTTCCGTCTATATTACTAACTAGTGCGTTTCTGTGCACCTGCTATTTTACAAATTACCTGTTTTGATGTATTTCCCTGGAGTACCGATTATCAATGGTGATAATGCTCTATATGTAGCGGCCTGTTATTGTATCGGCTTGTTCTTTTTCACTTTTAGCCCGGCGTTTTCCTAACGTTGTCTACAGGTCGACGTTGTACTTAGGTTGTATACCCTACCATTAAAATGTATATTGGGATTTCTTGTTTTGTATGCAATCTTGCCGTTATCAAAACACTTTCTTCAAATCAACGTAACTAAGAATTATGCAAAAGTATAATAATTGCTAATACTTGTTGATTTGAGTAAATTTTACGGTCATGATACAAGCCTATCTTTAGTTTATCCGTATTTCATGATTTGGTTTTATTTTGTTTAACGTTCTATTAACAGCGTAGGTAATTTAAGGACGTCATCTACAATGGCTATCACAGCTTATTTGTAGTCGAAACACAGATAACGTTGTTAATGTTTAAAAAAATAAATTTCATTTCATCATATTTTATTGAGTAAACAATAGGATTGAACAGCAGGCTAGGCCTATATAAGTTCTCTCCTTAGGTTGACATGACAAAGACAAAGATGAATGAAATGGTTTGTAAGAAAATATTGATGCAAATCATATATAATAGGTAGCATAGACATATATATATATATAGCAGATGGTATAGGGGAGATAATTCCATGTATGTTTCAATTACATATAAATATTTAATTGATATTTTTAGCTATACAATGCTCATATTAAAAAGTCAATCATAATTAATTAGTAATAGGAAAGCAATGCCCTAATGATATATTAAACAGAGAAATTGCTACAATTGTTTTTTTGTTTTTTGTTTTGCAAGTCATTAGTGCCCCCTGTTCATACCCTGCTGCTGTTGCATGAAGTAGTTAGAAGTATAGAACCATTTAGTATCAATATATATATCATTGGTAGGAGTGATAAAAAGTAAGGGATACAACAACATCAAAATATGAAAAAATAAAATGAGGCAATTCAGCTAGAAGATTTTGATAATGTAGTATATGTGTAAGATGTATTGCCAGTGTTCTATGTGTAAATCTTTCATCCCATCGAGTTTCAGACAAAAAGTCTCTAACGGCCTTTACCGTTCACATATCATCCACTCGAGAAGAATCCAGATTAAACCACAGAACACTAAGCATTCAAACTTAGCACATTTATGTTTTACTTTATTGCACCCATCAGTAAAAACAGCTTACAAAGCTTAATCCCTTAGGTGTATAATATTAAAACATCAATGTAAATATAACAATCAGTAGAATCACATAATGGTTTAAGGACAGTAATTTTATCATTTATGACTATATATAACAAAATTTATAGATTGTTTTAATTAGTTAAACAAGTCTTCTTGTGTTGTATATATATTTTAGAACACTATCAAGTATAGATTTATTTTCAGTATTGTTTAACACAGTGCTTCCATTAAGAAGTGTTTTAGTATCAAGATTAACCGGACACACTTCAAAAATCTCATTTATTAAAGTTTGTCTCTCATTAGTATACATTGGACATTGTGAAAGATAATGTGTAGCAGTTTCATAAGCATCACCACACAGACAAGATGGAGACTCTTTCAAGTGATCTTTGAATAGATCATAGTTCAGGTTACTCGCCTCATTTCTCAGTTGACATAGGATTATGTTATCCTTTCTGCTTTCACAATTTTTAAATACATCCGAGATATCATTATTACAACATATTTTATTATACACCTTGGCCTTAAATTTATTAAGAGTAGGGGAATGTACTATATCATTTTCAAGTCCATTGAACTTGTTGCACATTACTGGGAAGAAGCTTTTAGCATAGGATTCTGTACGACATAGTGGTGGGTTAAACATTCTTACATTTCTTAGAGTATACCTATCATTTTCTGGGTTATGAGTAAGAGGATCAATTATGTCATGGAGGTATGTGGGTGATAAATTGTTAGTTATTTTATACATCTGAGTTAGCTTATGGTTCATCCTTCGATCAGACAGGGATTCCCAACCTAGTTCTTTATATAGAGTTTGGTGTGATGTACCTTTCCTTAGACCTGTGATAATCCTTGCAGCTTCTAGTTGTACAGATTCTAATAAATTTTTAAGATTGTCAGAGCAGTTGTCCCAGACAATATCTGCATATTCAAGCACTGGGCGGATAAATGTTGTATATATTTTGCATAGTGATTTCCTATCAATCTTATATTTCAGATACCTAAGTATTGTTATTCTTTTACTAGCCTTTTCATATATTAATTGAACATGGGTAGACCAAGTGCCATCTTCAGAAAAAGTTAATCCAAGATGTTTGTGATCATGGGCATTATCTACACAAGTATTAGAGAAATTAATTAGAGGATGGATAGGTTCTTTTTTTCTAGAAAAAATTAATGATTTGGTTTTAGAGGGGTTAAATTTAATGTCCCATGTACTAGCCCAGTTGTTAATTCTATCTAGGTCTTGGTTAAGATAATCTGCTGCTAGTTGTGGGTTTTCGTCTACGATGACATATAATGATGTATCGTCTGCAAACAGCTTAATGTTACTCTGGACTATATCAGTGATGTCATTAATGTATAATAGAAATAAAAAAGGACCGAGAACTGATCCCTGAGGAACACCGGCATTAACAACCCTAAAAGTAGAAAAATGACCTTCAGATAGAAATAAAAAAAAAAAATCATGTTTAGAGGGAAATGACACAATTCAAGCTTAAACAATACACATCAGCGATAAATGAGTGGTGAAACGAGGCTATGGCGCCGGGCGTTTGTCATGTTCGCCACTTGGCATGTAACTAACGTGGCTATAAAGTATTTCAAAGGTGCGTACAAATTGGAAAACGAAAATCCTGGTGTATCGAAACAGAACTTACATCGTTTAAAAAATGTTATTATCGATTATACTCATAAAATAATTATTTTTTACGTATCCGGCACCAATGATAAATTGACAAACACTCCTAAAACCATTACACCTACAGACATTAGTTATAGTTTATTATTGTCGTACAATTAGCTTATCTTGTTGTTTTATCCCTGTAAGATTATCTTAACTAGCGGTCATATTTGTAAAATGTTGCAGTTCGACTCCGGCGCTTAAAGATGCCAAAGACTAAAATCCTTTAAATTTTATATTATACATGTGTGCCCACCAACTCTCAACTACTCGCGGAAAATTCCATTTGAAATACCACAATTTCTAGCTGTTTTACTGAGTGTTATAATATTTTTTTGCTTTCAGAGCCACTGTAATAATGTATATATAATAATGTATGCATAATGTATACATAATAATATATATATAATAATGTATATATAATAATGTGTATATATAATAACCTGAAGAGCCCTGTGAAGGGTGAAAGCAGCTAGTTTTTTAGTCGGTCGTTAATCTTATTTTTTCTATATAATAATGTATATATAATAATCAAATGTATATATAATAATGTATATATAATAATGTACATTGTAATGTAATTTTTAATTGACAACTGTCAGTCGATAGAAATTCAAACACTGAATTTGTTCCTTTTGATGTACGCAGACGATATGGTGATTTTTTCCGAAACGCCAGAGGGTCTGCAAGATATGTTAAACTCTTTATAATCGTACACAAAAAAATGGGATCTAACAGTCAATAGGATAAAACAAAAATTCTTTTGTTTCGAAATGGGGTATTTTGAGAAATAATGAATGTTGGAAATACAATGGTCGTCACTAGAAATTGTAAACGAATTTAACTACCTAGGAATATTACTAAATTACAATGGAACATTTAGAAAGCACAACAAAAAAATGCAGATCAGGAAAGAAAGGCTTTGTTTTAAGTTATGAATGTATGTCGGAAAAAATATTTTAATATTGAAACTCAATTATCAGTTTTTGATACGTATGTAAATAGCATTCTAAGCTATGGTTCTGAAATATGGGGCTTTCATAAAGCCCCAGATATTGAAAAAAAATCATACTTTGTTTTTTAAACGACTGCTTGGCGTAAAAAAAAATACTTGTAATATTATGGTTTATTTAGAACTTGGGAGGTATCCATTGTCATTGGTTAGAAAGTTAAGAATTATTAAATATTGGATTAAGTTAAAAAGGATTAGTAATTGTATTTTGCAAGCATGTTATAAAGATATGTTAGAGAATAAGGATAAATGGGTTTTAAACATAAAAAATGATTTATTTAGAATCGGCCTTGGTTACATATGGGAAACAGAAATAAATGAGGATATGTGTTATAATGTTATTAGAGAAAGACTTATTGATATATATAGACAAGAATGCAAAGAAAACGTAAGAACATCTTCAAAGGGATATATCTATACATATCTTTATAACCGGTTTGATTTACAGTGTTACTTAAGAAAACCATTATCTAGAGAATATTTGAAAGAGATTACAAAAATTAGGTTATCTGCTCATAATCTAAATATAGAAAAAGGTAGATATCAAAATATTGAGCGTAGTCTTAGAGTGTGTACTGTATGTAATTTAAATGACGTTGAAGATGAGTTTCATTTTATGTTGAAATGTCCATGTTATTCGGATTTGCGTGTTAAATTTTTGAAAAAGTACTATGTAAAAAAAACAAGTATGTTTAAAATGATAAATCTATTTAATGTAAATAACACAAAAGAACTTGTCAATTTGGCCAAATATATAAAAGCGGCAAATGTAAGAAGAAACCAATTAACTTAATTTGTTACACTCTCCATACTGTTTGTACATTGCTGGTATTGTATTGTATGTATTGCATGTATTGTATTGTATTGTCTGTAGATATTGTAAATATATCTTACTTTTGAAACCGATGGGTCAAACGACCCAAGGTAATAAAGAACTTGAACTTGAACAGGTATAATAATGTATATATAATAATGTATATATAATAATGTATATATATAATAATGTATATATAATAATGTATATATATAATAATGTATATTTAATAATGTGTATGTATATAAAATAATGTGTATATATATTAATCCAATGTGGCTTTCACAGTAATGAGTTTCCTTTTCTGCATATTGTACAACTACTCACTGGAGATTGAAAGATGAATTGTGGTCACGAAAACGTCGATTTAAGTGTATTTCACTTCAATATTAGAAATATTAGAAACAAATTATGTGAACGATTGTATTATTACAGACTTTGGTATGTTGTGCCTTTCAAAATCACAGTTTTAAAAGATCAGTTAAATAATTAAAGCTGTTTTACATTTTTCGTAGCGATAAGAGTTTCTGATATATTGAACGCTTTTAGAAAGCATCAGTTTAAAACTGTATCTATTGAGTATATCTGGGCGGAGGTACACGGTCATAATTAAAGTATCATGGTCGCTTTTATTTAAAGATACCATATTTTCCTTACGATTCTTATCATAAATACATATGTAGGTATGAGGTAGTTTTTTTTTGGGATGAATATTGTTTATTTTTTTGGTTTACACAAAGCCAGTATAACATATTACATGATCATATATATCATGGCAATAGTTATTGTTTAACAATACAGTTTCTGTCTACCATTACTTATTTTCTTATTTTAGGTAATCACTAATAAGTCAAATAACTGTTCCAATGGACGCCATTTTTCAGTTAATTCGTGAACATGTTTTGATCTGTATAACTTGTTAGCTAACTATTACATTTCTCGATGAATAATGGACGCGGGGCACCATTTACTTATTTAACAACTTCTAATAACAAATATTCATTAATAACATGAATATTTGAACACCCTTACATTGTATCACTGAAAAGGTTCATTTAGCAGGAATATGAGGTATATGTGCAAGTGTCACTGCCATGTAAAAACTACATATGAGTGACTCGATGAAACTTGCAAATTTAACCTAACATTGTATTTATATTATCTTGATAGTTGTATTCAGTTGATTCTGGGACCTTATTCTTATCAAATTGATTGTGCAATTAAATTCTTGAAGATTGGACTGATATGGTGTAATGTCTACACAGTTATCCGTTAAGTTATTTTGTGTATGGGTTAAGAAGTTGTTAAGTATAAAACATTAAACCAAGGCTGTATAATACGTTATTTAAGAAGTTGTTAAGTATAAAACATTAAACCATGGCTGTATAATACGATATTTAAGAAGTAAACGTCAGCTGGTTGGGTTTGTCACATTCATATCTTACCGACAAAAACCCACACATGAAGAGAACATTCCTAAACCATAGCCCATGCATTCGTACATATATTACTTGACAGGTAAACTGATATCCCAATATAATAGAATCTGTTGGTAGGTTTTTATGTGAAAATTACACTTATAATAATCAGTATACATGGATATAAATTAAAAGTGGAATTTTCCCACCCCCACACCAAACTTCATCGAAATAAACAGCAAGGTATGTGACTAACTATTGTATCGCCGAACAGAAATGGGGCGATGACCCCAGTTGACTGTCGTTATGGGATCCTTATTCGGATATCGGTCTAGCCGTCGCATTTTCTCTTTTTGTTGTTGTTGCTCTAATTGATTACTGATCAATGGTCAAGGTTTTATCGAATGTTCGATGGTAGTCAATTAACATGGTTTTATATGTTTTATATGTATTCACACTTTCGAGCAGGCCATGTAATCAATTCTAAAACAACTCCTTTTTACATGTACATATAAAACAAAAGATAACTTTATTTATTTTAAAACAATTATGAAACAAATTATTTTATTTCTTGTATGCCTAGATGGAAGAGGACGCGGTAACCCCGGTGGCAAAAGTGGTTAAGGTTCTTAAGGCTACGATCACTAGGCCTCCGACACTGGATCGCGGGTTCGAGACCCACGAGGGAGAAAACTGGAGAACCCGGAGAAAATCCATGAACACATCATGTCAATGAAACCAGATATTTCTAAAAAATGATGCTTTTGCTAAGATACATATAATTTCAGAACGTTCATGTAAGGGTCCATTTTAATAGAAATGGTTGCCATGCTGTTTATTCTTAGTTTCTAGATGTACATGTATAACGGTCATTGGAATGAATATGCAGATATTTTTTCGCGAAATTGTAACACTTGTAAAAGACAGGGAAAATCTAATGAAATAAAGATACTGTTTATGACTTTTTCTCGATAAAGACATTGGTTTCTAGGAACAATTGATCGGTCTTCCTAAAAATCATTGTAATGACAAGGAATGCTGTACTACGACGTCACAATTAGAAAACGTCGGGCGTAAATGATGTCACATACATGTATGACAACGCCAGATGATTATTACTTTTTTAACAGTGTTCACTGGTGAAAGTGGAATTTATATTTTAATTAAGAAATATATTGTATTGTCTGTATTGTCATTGTACATTTGTATAAACATGCTTCCACTGACCTCTAAATGCGAATGTCTGTAGAAATCGGCACAATGTGACAAAAATACACCGTTTATGACTAAATCAACAACAAATTTCCGAAATGTTCAAACAAATTTAAACCATCATAACAAAAAGTAGATAAATTACTGGTCAAAGTTTCAGGAATATCTTTCCGTGCAAGGTGATTTCCTGAGACAACTTAAAGAGGTCGTTAGTCATTGTAGACGCTGGACACTCTTGTTGAAATGTACTCGTAGGTCAAAACCTGCTATAACACTTTGCCTAAGAAATGTTTTGGTCAACAGGAAATTTAGCCACCCCTATGTAGAGTAGTGTAGGTCATTGTAAGAAAAAACAACTACGCGATATATTGACTTATACGTCTTACTGGTCACCCCTATGTACTGGTAGTAGTGAGGGTCAATGTTTTACAAACACTGACTACGAGACATATTGGCCCACAGATCTAACTAGTCATAGCTATGTGGTTTGTGCAAGTCAATGTTACAAACGTATGATATCTAGTTTAAGAAGACTCTTTACGTTTCATCTATGCTCCAGGGATTGAGATACTAGTTACTACAAACTCTGATCTTCAGCTTTAGACATTTACCAACGATATTGCAAAAAAACAAATGTGAACGACAGGTGATAATTATGTTAGATACACCATTATACTTGATAAATTACAATAAGATTACACACCTCCGCCGTTCTTCATGCACACGTACGGGAACCTCCAGACGTTACCGAACCCTACAGTATACCCCAGCACCGATAACAGAAAGTCCAGCTTGCTTCCCCATTGTTCCTTGGTAGGCGTCCGTTTGTCGGTACTGACCATGTCCGAGGCATCACTGTCAGGAAGGAAACTTATCCTGGGGGACGGCTCGTTACCATTTTCTTTATCCATATCGTTTTAAAACGTAATTCTCTTTCTCAATAAACCTTTGACGGATTCCACACTGCAATGTTAGAGAGACTCTCTAGAATGTGACAGCCCTACTTATACAAATAACATCAGTCCGCAGTCATTTCATGAAGTCCTGTATCAGGTTAATTTGACTATCAAAATAGCGTCATCGCCAACGGCAAGAGAATTATATGCCAAATTAAGCAATGTTCTCTAGATCATCAGAGGACTTCTATGTAGAATTAGGTCAAATGTTATAGTGGTTAGGCCCACCTTGAGCCACTTTGGCCACCACTGGGTGGCATACATGCTTAAGCTAAAAACAATCATGAAATCAATTTAGAAATAGAAACAACTATCACGCAAAAACCAATGTGAAATAGAGATCTTACCGCACGCTAACAGCTGATCTAAGCCATAGCCATTGTTATATCAAGCCTACAGCTGACTTAAGTCCTTTCCATTTTTAGATCAATCTAACAGCTTAGCAAAGCCAAAGCCATTGTAATATTAAGCCTACAGCTGATTTAAGTCATATCCATTGTTATATCAAGCCTACAGCTGATTTAAGTCATATCCATTGTTATATCAAGCCTACAGCTGATTTAAGTCATATCCATTGTTAGATCAATCTAACAGCTGATTTAAGTCATATCCATTATTATATCAAGCCTACAGCTGATTTAAGCCATTTCCGTTGATAGAAAAAACTAACAGCTGATTTAAGTCTTATCTATTGTTATATCAAGCCTAAAGCTGATTTAAATCATATCTATTTTAAGATGAAGATAACAGTTGATTTAAGCCATCTCCATTGTTAGATCAAGTCTGTAGCTGATTTAAGCCATCTCCATTGTTAGATCAAGCCTACAGCTGATTTAAGCCATATCTATTGTTAGATCAAGTCTGTAGCTGATTTAAGCTATCTCCATTGTTAGATCAAGTCTGTAGCTGATTTAAGCTGTCTCCATTGTTAGATCAAGCCTACAGCTGATTTAAGTCATATCTATTTTAAGATCAATCTGACAGTTGATCTAAGCCATCTCCATTGTTAGAATAAGTCTGTGGCTGAGTTAAGCCATCTCCATTGTTAGATAAGGATACATAACATACTAATGTTTTTGAACATTGCACACACAGTAAACTTTACAAAATTTTACATACAGATTTCAAATATTGATTAGTTGAATACAAGCTTAGATATGTAAGATCAGTTGTATATTTGATATACAAATTTGTAAAGTTTAGCTTGGTATACTTTACCACTTTCTCTAAACTAAAAGTTCAAAAGGATTTTGTTTACTTATCATTTAAACAGGTGGCATTGCCTTACCGTCGCTAACAAAACAAGGCAGAAAGGTCTACTTACCGCGAGTTATCCTGGTCTACGACTGGAATGCTACACCGACTACCCGTGTCTGTGTGCCTGAGTGAATATGTAATTAGATCATACATATATACCGGTGTATACGGTTACAGGAATGGAGCAGTGGCTGTCCGGAAGTAGTTATAAACTGACATTTCTATCCTACATGTTTTTATGTTGGTTTCACTTTTTTATTCATGACCATGCATATGTGGATTCTCCCTTTGTGACTCGAGTTCATGTAGTAGATCATGGTCATTTTCTCAGTAAAACAGGTCCGAGTGCAAAACTAGTACACGCTCAGAATACGTCCATGCTAAATTACTTAATTTGAAATGGCTAGATATAAAAAATCAAAAAGATCTCGATTACACATAAATTATCTAAAACTGTACGAAATGGATGATGTAAAAGCAGTCTTCATTAGTACAAATGTGTGCAATATTGAAATCAAACCATTCATAGGACGTGTACGTGTACGGTCAAAAATCTCCTCCGGGTATAGAGTACAAACAGACAAGAATGAGAACAGCACTATCATTTATACGGATATACAAATATATGGATATTTTGGTAAGTATGGTAGTTCATGTATGACATTCGGACCGCCAGTAAATAGTTTGTGAGTTCACGCGGACTATAAACAGAGCGTGCACCGGGCCTCTTATCTTCAGAAATCTCATCGGATTGCTTCAGTCGGTTATTTTTATGTTAAGTATCTATTTTATGTTTTAACGAACAACTTCAAATACGTTGTAAATCTTAAAAACACTTCTTTTGAATAACCGAAAGTCCTCGGGTGATGATATATGGCTAGTAGCGTACTTGGGCTGTAAAATATGTTCAAATAAATGACCTTCATCAGTGTTCAATGTCATAGGGGTCACAATTGTGTTGAAAATATATTAACAACTTTTTCTATGCAAGCAGATCTAGAGCCCTAGTACATTGTATGATGATAATTGGATGAAGTTTTATGGATTTTTTTAGACTTTCAAAGTCATAGGGATCAAACGTGTAAAAATATATAACCACGTTCTTTGAAATATATTTGACCTTGGTCTTCTTTTTTAAGGTTACAGTGAGAAGCAAGAATAATACCAGAGGCCTATTCGTTTATGCGAAACAACCGGTTGGTCCGTTTTTAAATGTAACAATTTCGGGTATAGTGCAGGCCTTACAATGCTTCGTCAATGCTTGCCTGAAAGCAGCATCAGATTACTAGGTCCGACCTTATTTGATAACGAACAACTGTGGTTCGACCGGTTCAACCGTTTAAACAAAAACGGCCCAGGTGAGCAGTGCAGGTCGATTGATCCTCTTATCGTGGAATGTTGAGTTGTTTATCGTCTGCTAAAAGAACAACGGTGTAATGAGATAATGAGAGATAATGTTACAATAGCTGCACATATTTCTAAACAAAGACATAAATATAAACATTAACCGTTGGAGGCATGGTAGTCTAGTGGTAGGACGCCGGGCTCGTGACCGAAAGGTTGCAGGTTCAAGTCACGGCACTGTGTTGTATTTTTGAACAAGATACTTTACTACTCTTGTTCCAGTATAATCAGCTGTAAATGAGTATGTGGTTGAGCAGTGCTATTGAGAATCAAATATCCCCGCGGTTCAGAGTAATAGCGGGGATTATTTGTATCGTGCGGCACTCGTTTGCTAGTTGGAGCACGAGCGGCGAGTGCTATCACGTGTCCACGGGACAGGTGAGAACGGAGCCTATAGTATAGGGTCATTTCTAGTCGCTTATTCGGGACGCGCGGTTTACATCAAACTTTGACTACGAACATGAATGTGGAGGGGGAAGCTATCAACCCCAATATCAACGAGGCTATAGCAGAGAAGGTGAAAGATGCGGTTGCCAATACGCAGAACCAAGTCCTTTCCCATTTGGACCGGCTTATATCTAGCAAGCTGGACGCTTTTGAATTAAAAATTTCTAGTAATTCTGAGGCACAGATATCGAAAATATAGCAAAATATCGCGAGTGTGGATTCGCATAAATTAAGCAAGAAGAGTGGTGAGGACCAGTATAGCTTAAACACGAAGCTTAAAGCTAAATTTGATAGGCTTTGCCTCGGGTCAATATCACTCTTTCAGGTTCATATCACATCATATTCACCAGCACAAAAGTCCATAATTGTATACTATGTGTTTGTCACTCTTTCAACATGAAACCAACCGTCGGCTTCACTAAAGATAGGCCTGTGCAAGTCTAGTCACTTCAGTGCAAAGGAGAACCGGTTAGACGAAGGGATTCTTTGTTTATAAACGACAATGCTGATGAGCCGCCTGAGATACATGTATGTACGCGCATGTGTGGGTTAAACGTAAGTAGGCGTAGCCTACTTTGTCAGTTCGTGTCTGTGTCACAACATGACTCCCCCGTCCCTCTCCCTTCCCTGGTCCGAGTTGCTTCAAGTGAGTCAGTGTCTGAAATACACATGCTATACTGCGATGGGTCACAGAAAACATACTGCTGTGACCCATATCAGCATAGCATATAGTGTATTTCAGAGGTTCAAGATGGGAAGTCGAGGGGGATTCGAGATTCATTTATATATAATAAGGCGGCAATTGCTGGTAGTTTGTAATGTGTTAAGGACAATACATTGGCATGCTTTTTAAATGTAAAAAATGTATTTAGTCGTGTTGATTTTTTTTTCTTTTTACAAGTTATTTAAGGTTACTCGACACATCGTCATCAGCGGCCATTTTCATGACGTACTTCCGAAAAAAAGTACAGCGGACTGAATATTTCCGAGCGAAATGTGCCCATACACCGAAAAAGTAATTCTCCAGCTTTGAAAAATACAAAAACATACTCAATCACTTGAACGCTTTACATTAAAGTCGTTTTCGCCAACGTTTTCGAAGGACCGAAGAAACACTGATTGTGTTACGTTGCTAACGTCCACAATAGGTCTAGAAATGGACAGAGATAACCACGGCAAATTCACTTCAGGAAACAATGTCAGTGAACTGGACAATAACCATGTGCACCATGACCATGCATACAGTAAATGTAAGTTCGTTTAGCATGCCAGTTATCGAGACAATAACCAAAATACCGGTCCATTTCATATTTTGCTATGTTTCCGTTCATGCACATCAACCACAGGGTCACGTTACAATCGCACATGCTATATTGATATGGGTCACAACAATGTTTATGTGTGTTGTGACCCATATCAGTATAGCCACGGAATTAGATGTTATCTAAGTCCGTGGTATAGCATATGTGTGATTGTAACGTGACCCTGAGCATCAAGCAAACACAATCTGGAAAGTTAAACCTTTTGTGCTTTTGTTTGTGCTATCTTGATATCACTGGGAAAATATTATGAAGCAGTCGAAAATTATATTGACTCCAATAATGTAATTTACAAATACGATACAATCGCTGGAGAATTATATCATGTTAGATATTTTATAATGCATTTGTTCCATGTTTATTGTTTAATGTTCAATACTACATAGAGTTGATAAACCCAGTATTTATTTAATAAGATAAGAATATATTACAGTGCCAATATCACCTATTCTACACATATTTGAATGCAAATAAAAATTATATATGTCAGGTGTCCATTGATTCAGTTATTTATAAATGAAAATGTCATGAAATATAATATATATTCTACAAAAAATGTTTTTCTGTTGATTTTATGTTTGTTGACAGACATATATATATATGTGGATTTGAAGTTGATTCATGTAATTTTATCATTATCTGAAGTATCAATTTATAATGTTATATATTACAGGTACATGTTCTGAAATAGTACAACTGGCAGCTGTTTATGGTGATCAGTCATTTGATAGACATGTCATGCCTACTATTCTAATCCATCCCAAAGCAAGTGCTGTAACTGGTCTACATATTGTCGGAAATAACTTATATCACCATGACAGAAGACTTGGTACAGTTACACAGGAGACATGTTTAATGGACTTCAACCAGTGGTTGAAGGGTATTTCCAATCCAGTATTAGTGTGTCATAATGGCAAGATGTTTGACTCTGTTATACTTGGAAAAGCCTTTCAAAAACATGTCACTTGTGGATTGTTAACTACAGTGATTGGCTTTGTAGACAGCCTGTTTATATTTAGAGAAATTCTGCCTGGTCAATCTACTTATTGTCAGCAGTCTTTAGTTAGAGACACACTGGGAATTGAGTATGCTGCACATTTTGCATTAGAAGATGTAAAAAGTCTACAGAAATTGGTTTTACATCACAATGTTTCAAGTACAATTTTATTAAATCACAGCTTTACAATAAATTTTACAATGTCTTACATTGATTTTAACAATACCACAAGTAATTGTTTATCTTTACTACAGCCTCTTTTAGATATAATGTCACAGTATATGGTTACAAAAATTGCACAGTCAGGTTGAAACTTGCTTTTGAAACGGGAGGATCAGGAGGTCTTGAAAATGTTTTAAAAGAAAAAAAATCATTTAATGTTGTAAGAGTGACAAATAACAAGGCTATCGTGAACAAAATTATTGATCATTTTTCTCACTAAATTATATTTATTGGTAAATTCTATAAAACTTGTTTACATAAAATATTATGTTTTCCTCAATTTTTCACAATATATTAACTTTTCATTGTATGCACAAAAATATATACAAACAAAGCATAATCAAGTACACATTTGACTCCAACTCCATGCTTGTTGGTCATATGTGTTGAATTTTTGCTTTTTGAATATTTATAGTTTCTGCTGTGTTTGTGCCAAAACATCTGATAATTTGTATTATATTTATTGTACTGCTGCTTATAACATCAATGTTTATTGTTTGTCTATTTTGCAACATTATAGTTATTTGTTATAAATCATTGTTTATTTCATTTGGAAAAAAATAAATGTTTTGGAAAGTGCACTGGCTACAAATGCCCTATGAAAAAAACTTACAAAAAATTACAAACATCAAACATTCAAGTGTACAAACATGTATCATTTGCTAAGAAAGTATTTTATAAGTTTTCAAATATCATCAAATAGTGTTTCTTTTTCTTTCTTATAATTATAACTTGGTTTAATGTTCTAGTCTATATGTTTGTAAGTGTAACCTAGCCTATATGTTTGTAAGTGTATATGAGTGTGTCTTGTTGAGCAATGTATTACATT